AGCTGAAGTGAACAAGACAATGTTCTGCCTTCCTGTTTCAGATCTTGTACTACAAATGTGTCCATTTTGTGGTCTATTTTGTGCCATGTTTTCCACATTTTTGCACTTTTTAATGATGATTTTGCCATTTAAAATTGTACCAAGCATAGTGCTGAAGTGCTGTCTGGTGTTTCACAGTGCGAGAAGGTGGTAGTGTCTCGTGAGGGAAAACGTACATTTTGGATAAGCTTCATTTAGGCAGAAATTATAGTGCTATTAGTGGCGAATTCATTGTTAATGAATCAACAATACGATACACCCAAATAAAAGAAGAGGAAACTCACTGATCTGTATGTGATGCTGCTGCAGAAGGTGCTAAAGTAACATCTATATATGCAGCAATGGAAAAGATGGAAAAGCAGCTAAATTAGTGGATTCATGGAATGATGACCAATAAAAAAAGCATAGAGGATAGCATTGTTGCGTAATTTGAAAGCCAAAGAAATTTATGGGCGTGTTACCCAGCATCAGGAAAACGTTAAACTCTTCTTGGCTAGTGTTTATGCATATAATTATTTGCAAATAAATAAATAAATATTTTTAAAAGATTAAACAGAAACACATATAAAATAAGGTTATTTGTTGATACGCTGTTAAAAATATTTTGACCAGAGATTTGCAGGAACCTAGCCCTGTGTTTTCCCTACCTGTAGTGGCTCACTTTTTTGCTAATTCAGTGTTCATCAACATTATAGAACATAATTACCACAGATTAAGAGAATGTTCTTCCAGACGGCCATGCTCCCACAATTGCTGTATGAATCTGCTCTTTTCTCCACTCCCAGCTAACACAATGTTGTTTCAAACTTTTTGATATCTGAAACCTGGTAGTCTGATAATAGTCTGAAACCTGAATAACGGTATCTTGTGATTTTAATTTGCATTTCTTTTAGTATGAGTAATGTAGACTATCTTTTCATATGTTTTAGAGCCATTCATATTCCCTTTTGTTCATATCCTTTTTGCATTTTCTTTGGATATTTGTCTCATTGATTTGTAGGGGATCTATATATATTATGAAAATTAGCCTTTTATGCTATGAATTACAAATATTTCCCCAAATTTGTCATTCATCTCTTGACTTGAATGGCAAAAACAAACACTATAAACAGGCCAGGCAAGGTGGCCCATTCCTGTAATCCCAGCACTTTGAAAAGCTGAGGTGGGCGGATCACCTGAGGTCAAGAGTTCAAAACCAGCCTGGCTGACATGGTGAAACCCCGTCTCTCCTGAAAATACAAAAATTAGCTGGGCATGAGAATCGAGAATCACTTGAACCTGGGAGGTGGAGGCTGTAGTGAGCTCAGATTGTGCCACTGCACTCCAGCCTAGGTGACAGAGTAAAACTCTGTCTTAAAAAAAAAAAAAAGAAAGAAAGCACTATAAATATTTTTTAACTAGTCAAATATATTGATCTTGGCCATCTTTTATGGTCTCCGGGTTTCATTATGGTTTAAAAGCTTTCCTTAAGAGAGATTTAAAATGTTTTAAGAGTTGTGTTTGGTGTTTGTGTTTGATGTTTCGTGTCTTTTGGTGTTTGTAAGGAATTTAGTCTTCTTAATGTGTAACAAGTATAAATCCTTATACTTGCTACACACTTATAAATACTTATACTGAGTAGATTTTAGAGTAATATAACAATGAAATACCACAGGCTTTGTGATTCCAGAGTCCAGCTTGAAATCCAGTCTGTGCGCCTAGTAAAATGACTTAAGCCATACTGCTTCCCTTCTCTGAGCCTCAGGTTCCCCATCTCTGCTTTGCTGAGTTCTGCTATGAAAGAGAATGCCTGGCACATCATAGATTCTCAGTGTTAGCTCCTCCTTGTCCTACTTCCCTGAAGTCTTCCACTAAGAAATAATTTGTTACATTAACTTGCATTATGCATGTACTACAAGTAATGAAATAATTTCTCTTTAAAAGTGTTTTGTAATTTAAATCCTAGACAATTTCTTCTGATATTTTAAAGCTAGCATGAATTAATGACTGATAACTGGTTTGAATTGTCATTATTAAAAAATGTGTCAGTACAATGTTTTGCCTTTTACTGGCGGATGGGATAAATGTTTGTGAAAACAGTGAAGAATGAATTTTTAGACATGGAGTTATTTTCTTTAAAAACTCCTAAACACTATATCTAGAAATCTTATTGAAAACTATTTGTATAAAAATAATTATTGAATGAAGGTAATCAGTGTACCCTAATTTATCCTCTTTCATAAGTCTAAATTTTTATGTTTATTCCATTTTTTGAAAGCAGACTACATTTATAGGGAGAATAATACATTTAAAAATCATTAAAATGATCTTTAAAAAATAAAGGGGGTAATGTCTTTATCCTTTGCTCTCATGGTCATATTGGCTAAATTTTTATGATTTTTCTTGGCTAATTCCTGAGGAGTTGCCCCCTTAATATTTGGGGCATGAGGAAAAGGTGCAGTTTTAGAAATGCTTTAACTTTGTATTTGAATAAAATTTATTGTCACTACTCTAGGAAACTTCGGTAAGACTTGAGTGCCTTTCCTCTGTTAGGCAAGTTAGACTATCCCAGACCTTGCTCTGGATGTCAAGATTTTTGAAGTTCAAAGCAGATGTGTGTGGATGAAAAAACATCTGGTGAAGAGAACTTGCTTCGTTGCATGACACTTTTCCTGCACTCTTCAGTGGAGCGTCTGTTGAGCAGGTTGGCAGGTTTGATAACTAATTAATGATGAGGAATGAGCCATGTAGCCGAGGAACTCCATTTTGCCCCTTACTGTCTCTTTCTTCCCCATATGTCTGGCAAAGCCTTCAGAGGCTAGGATCATGGATCACACAGTTGGGTCTCAACTCAAACACTTCTCTCCAGGCTTAACTAGCTTAGAGATATAAACAGATGGATGGCCTGCGGGACAGGGTTTAGTGTTGAGCAATGCCGTTTTATTATCAGGGACTTTTGAAATTTTTACTGGAGTACATTACAACTTTAAAAATGCCTTTGAAAACTCCGAATTTTGATGCTATGTACTTGAATGTGACAGAGCTTTGTGAGCATCCCTGGATGTTTGTAGTTTTCTTTTTGTAACTTTTTATTTAGGTATAATTTTACATATACAGAAAAGTTGCAAGAATAGTGCAAGGGACACCAATGATTCCTTTTCCCAGATTCAACCAGTGTTTTCCTTTTCTTCCATTTGTTTTCCCATCCTTGCACACGCCTCCCTCTGCGTGCACACAAGCACGCGCATACACACATACACACAAACAAGTAAGTGCATTTTTTCCCCTGAACTATTTGAGAGTGAATTGGAGACATCGGGCTCCTTTATTCCTAATACTTTTGTGAGTATTTCTTAAGAACAAGGCCATTCTGCTAAATAATCACAGTACAGTTATCAAAGTCATGGCTTTTAGTATTGATATAACACTACCTTCTAACTCACAGTCCCTTTTCCAACTTTATCAATTGTCTCCATAATGTCCCTTACAACATCTCCCCCCACCACCGAGTCCAGGGTACAATCCAGGATGACACATTGTGTTGAGTTGTCATGCCTTCTTTAAACAGGAAGTTTCGCAACTTTGTGTTTTCTGACTTTGGCATTTTTGAAGAATTCAAACCAGTTATTTAGTAGAGTGTTGCTATTTCAAGTCTGTTTGATGTTTCCTCATTCAATTCTGGTTATGCATTTTTGTCAGGAATACCAAATACCACAGAAGTGTTGTGTCTCAAGGTATCTTATCAAAAGGCACATGGTGCTGATTTGTGCCTTAATTGGTGGTGTTAGCTTTGTTCATTGAGTTAAGTTGGAGTCCATCAAGTGTTTCCACAGTGAACTAACAGTTTTTCCTGTTATAAGGTTTTTTGGAGAGATACTTTGAAGCTATTTAAATAGCCCGTCCTTCTTCAGATTTCCACCTGCTAGTTTTAGCAACCATTATTTTCTAACTCTGTTATTTTTTCTATACTTATTAGTTGGCATTCTGCTGAAGGAAGAGCTTTGTCTTCTCCTCCATTTATTTGTTTGGATCAGTATGGGCTCATTGGTTCCTACTGTTTTCAGTGGTTGTAACTCATTACTCTCATTATTTATTTTGACAGGCACAGATTTTTGCCAGTAAGAGCCCTTCGAGTTGACCCCTGGGTCTTTTTGATAAGTCTCCTTTACTCTTTGAGCATTTCCTTACTTTTCTGGTACAACAAGATGTTCCAGATTCACTTTATGTTTTCTCTGCCCCAGCTCTGGAAGGGACATTTTTCCAAAGAATCCTGGTTCTTTTTTTTGTAGAGAATGGTATTTAGAAATTAAGGGCCGGGTGCAGTGGCTCATGCCTGTAATCTCAGCACTTTGGGAGGCCAAGGCAGGTGGATCACCTAAGGTCAGGAGTTCGAGACCAGTCTGGCCAACATGGTGAAACCCCGTCTCTACTAATAATACAAAATTAGCTGGGTGTGGTGGCACATGCCTGTAATCCCAGCTACTCAGGAGGCTGAGGCAGGAGAATCACTTGAACCCAGGAGGCAGAGTCTGTAGTGAGCTGGGATTGGACCATTGCACTCCGGCTTCGACAACAAGAGTGAAACTCCATCTCAATAAAAATAGAATTTAAGATGTGTGTGTGTGCGTGCGCGTGTTTTAAAAGAAACCACACTATGGAATATTACATTTACTAAATCACTGTATACCGTATATATGAATGTGTGTGTGCATTTAATGTTACAAGAGTCAAACAGAAGAACATTTATTTTACATGTAATAATCATAAGTTTTGACAGGAAAGAAATACATTTTTCATTTCACAGTAAATGGCATTACACAGTTTTAGTGATAAATCATCTTGACATTTATGAAGGAGCAAATGGAAAGTGGGGAACTGAGTGTGTTAAATATAAAGCTATCTTTAACTGTTCTATTAAAAAGCAAAGATTTATTTTCCATCTGTGATCTGAATGTGCCTATTTGTGTTCTCTTTTACGGTAGTGGAATTTCTGTGGAGCCACACGACGGAGAGCATGTGTGTTGGATATATGTCAGCCCAGGATGGGAAAGCCAAGGTAAGCGGGAAAAAACTGGGTCATAACCTGAAAACCTTGTAGCCATCGCACAAACCTCTAACCAGCTAAGTTGATGTGGATGAATTTTTTCAGCTTTTCTTGGGCAGTAGCTCTATGATCTTTATAAGAATCTGAATAAGAACAGTTAACAATGCTAACAGCTCCAGAGAAAACTAGCATATCTATTTTGCTTTTGGTGACACAGCAAGGGAGCATTAGGAAAAGCCTGCCCACCTTCCCCCACAGCTCCCAGCTTCTTCCTTTTTGCCCATTGTGAATAAGTAGAAAAGAGGAAACTGGGATTTGGGAAGAGAAAATGGGAGTGAAGCTGATGAGTTGACATAGATGGATGATTGCAGATGGATGATTCTGCAAGGAGTGTTGGAATAAAGGAAACTGAGTCAAACAAGCTTTGACCCATCCTGCATGTTTAATGGCACAGGTGGCTGACATGCTTGGAAGTGTGACCCGTCTGATCTTTCAGTGTGTTCTGTCATGCCCTGACATGGTGTCTCCATGGGCAGAATCAAAGGTCTTTGTCCATGTGCCACATGCCCGTGGCACTCATCCCTCAGTGAGTTACGGTAATCACATAGGCATCCACATCCCTCAGTGAGTTACGGTAATCACATAGGCATCCACGTACCGTCTCTGGAGTTGCTTGGCTTCCCTGGACTCATGATGGTTGAGCCTGGAGTAAGCAACTTGATTTGTGGGTTTTATTTTATATTGGCCTCATGTTCTTCTTGTTCATAAATTTTTTAGAAACAGCTGTGGCCTGTGATGTTTACTTGGCATTAAAGTCCCTCAGTTCTAAAGCTGTGAAGCTGTGCAGCCTTGTTTTTAAAGGAAATGATTTATTTTGCACATTTTGACATATAAAATAGGAAAACTTCTGATATGAACTGTCTGATACAGATTGAATCATAGATAAAGGATAAATATAATAAAGAACACTTTATTGCTTATTTGTCATGTAATACCCATCCCGACTGTCCTTTGTATATTATCCAGCCAGACTGTAGTTCCACAGAAGTTTTGTGAGTAGTATAAAGAACATTTATTCAGACAAGGATTGGCTTATATTGTGAAAATATTACTGAGATCCACCCTCCCCCTTTGCTTCACCTTCACCTGGTACAATATTCATATTGTGTTAGTAGACCTATTTCCTAAGAGAGTACGTAAAAGATTGCTTTGTTTCATAATTTATATGGAATGGAAATACAATTACCTATTTTAAAGGTGATTTAAGGGTTTAGAACAGCACTGTCTAATAGAATTTTGTGTGATGTAAACATTTTATATCTCTGTTTTCCAACAGGGAAGCTACTAGCCACATGTGGTTATTGAGCACTTAAATGTGGCTAGTTTGATTGAGGACCTGAATTTTTTTTTTTTTAATTAATTTATTATTATTATACTTTAAGTTGTAGGGTACATGTGCATAACGTGCAGGTTTGTTACATATGTATACTTGTGCCATGTTGGTGTGCTGCACCCATCAACTCGTCATTTACATCAGGTATAACTCCCAATGCAATCCCTCCCCCCTCCCCCCTCCCCATGATAGGCCCCGGTGTGTGATGTTCCCCTTCCTGAGTCCAAGTGCTCTCATTGTTCAGTTCCCACCTATGAGTGAGAACATGCGGTGTTTGGTTTTCTGTTCTTGTGATAGTTTGCTAAGAATGATGGTTTCCAGCTGCATCCATGTCCCTACAAAGGACACAAACTCATCCTTTTTGATGGCTGCATAGTATTCCATGGTGTATATGTGCCACATTTTCTTAATCCAATCTGTCACTGATGGACATTTGGGTTGATTCCAAGTCTTTGCTATTGTGAATAGTGCTGCAATAAACATACGTGTGCATGTGGAGGACCTGAATTTTAAATTTTACTTAATTTAAATTTAAATAGCCACATGTGACTCATGGCTACCATATTGAACAGCATAGGTTTAATGAATAAGTATGAAAATGGTTATTCATATTTTCAGATTCATTTCTTCTCAGTGACAAAACAGTTCCCATACATAAAACAAGCCTGATAAACCCCAAGAATCCTTGCATAAGAGTAGCTTGCAGCCATTTCAGTTTCTCTGACGCCTTACATATTGATTCAGAACTAAGATTGCTTTTTAACAAAAGAGCATGTTTGAAGTGGACTTCAGCACTGAAGCCAGTCTGGTCAGGTATGATTATGTTATAAGTCCCTTGTATGGACATTTCTTGTTATCCTTGCTGGTGGCCCATGAAAGACACCTTACTATTTAATGTGAAATATAGGTAGTAAAGAGTGGAGAGTCCTGCTATGAGCCCAAAGATATTTGGCCTCCAGTTATATTGCTTGACATCTGGTAGACATGGTTTTCTTATTGTTGGTAAATTCTCCAGCTGGTAGTCAATTGGGCCAGCAGATACAGCTGGCCCTCTTGCCTCTCTTGTAAATTATGTTTTTGACCTTCCTTGAAGAGAGTTAATCCCTCTTCCTTCCTTTCCCCTTTGAGCCTGTGACTACAAATACTTTCAAGAAAAAAAAAAAGAAAGAAAGAAAAAAAGAAAACCTGAAAACAAAAACACGAATGATTTGGCTGCCAAATTCTATTGATCAAAAAGAAAAATTACCTCTTTTGTTATAAATGCTAGAATTTTTTTTGTATTGCAAGTAAGACAAAGTTGTAGATGAGAGGCTGAGCTCAAAAGTGAAAAGGGGCTGTAACAATGTTTGTATTCTGTTTAAGCTTTGGACCTTCTTCTCCCTCTGGTTTCCTCACTTCTATAAAAGAATAGTTGAGCTAACTAGTGGCATACCCATTCAGCATTGTGACTGGTTTCCGAAGCATGTTCCTCCATAATGTTGAGAGCTATGGTAGCACAATGAGTAAGAAGGCATCTTAAAATATTTAAAATTTAAAAACTATTTTAAAAAGTTAAAACACTTGTGCCTTGCTTTTCAAAAATTGTCTTCCTTCTGCTTGTTACCAAACTCAGAAACTGAAGCCACCTGGCCATTTGAACGTGTATGAGCTAGCTGTGTTTAATCCAAGTTAAAGCCTTGAATTAAAGCTTAGCTAAAAATCATATTGCTTAGAAAAGGCTGGATAATAATCAATATCATTGTAACCAGAATGCATATATAATATGAATAGAGCTAGGTTCTTTTACAAGTCTCCTTTTTAAAAGAATGTTATTGCAATTAAATCATTTAATTTAATTTCTAAACTGCTTTGATAGCATAAGGTGAAGATTTCTTTCTAAGGAGTCAAAATTAGGGCATCGGTACCAGTTGAATTTTAAAAACAGATTGCCCATATCCTACCCAGATAGCAGACAGTTAATGAAGAGTTTTTAATAAACACCCAGTGTGCATGGACTACTGTAATAGAAACAGATGTTAAAACTGGCATGGAACTTACTCAACTATCATACGTGAAATTAGGTTTCTTTTATTATGTGGAGGTCACTTTTTATAACTACAGTGAAAATACTGTTATAAAAATTTCCTTGAGGAGGAGCAGACTATTTTACAGTCTTTAAGTGTCTCTCCACAGACTTCTTATTAGTTGTAGGGAAAAATAATAACTATATAATGGAGAAACCAGGCAACACCTTGACCATGTGATCAAAATTAATACCACCAATGAGGGGCAGATGGACAATACGTGCCTCTGGCTATGATAACTTGAGGATACAGTATCACTTGTCTAGTATTCCATCTGGAAATATATAACCTGAACCTAACTGTGAAGAAACATCAGACAAATTTAAAATGAGGAACATTCTGTGAAGAAAGAAAAAAAAGAACCATGTTCTTCAATAATATCAATGTCATAAAAGACAGAGGCTGCAGAAGTATTCCAGAGGAAACAATACTAAAGAGATGTGACAGCTAAATGCAGTAACTGGTCCTAGACTAGATCCTATATCGGAAAAATGCTATAAATGCATTATTAGGTCAATTTACAAAATTGGAATATGGATAGTAAAAAGTGTCATATCATTGTTAAACTTGCTGAGATTGGTTACTATACTGTGGTGTATAATATTTTTATTCTTAGGTAATATATACTAATGCATCTAGGGGTACAGGGCCATAATATAGGCAATATTTTCTCAGTGGTTCAGAAAAATATATTAAGTGGATGAATGGATGGATAGAGCAATAGCAAATTGCAAAGCAAATGGAGCAAAATGGAGCAAAAGTAGTTGAACCTTGGTAAAGGATGTATAGATCTTCCCAGAAGTATTCTGTAATTCTTAAATTATTTTCAAATTTAAAAAATTTAAAAATGTCACTCTTGGGTCTTGTGGCACATTTGATTACTTCTTTGGGCCTTGTACTTGAAATGATGCAGTTCAAAAAATATCACCCTTGGTTTATAACTAAGTCTGCATTGGATGAATGATTACATTCCCCCAAACTATTGCCTTTTTCTCGTTTTGAATTCCTGACTAGAATGACCAAAATTCAGATAATAACACATCCCATTACAAATATTTTGCAAAATATTTCTATAATAGTTCCTTGTTTTCCAGTGGGATCTAAGAGAGATTAAGCTTTTTCATGATCAAGGTACTGTCCTCTTAGGATGTTTTTTGTTGTATTACTCAGCTTTTCTAAAAAAAAAAATTTTACTCGACAAATTTTGTTGTTGTTGTTGTTGTTGTTGTTGTTTTGAGACGGAGTATCGCTCTGTCGCCCAACAAATACTTATTTGTGATGCTTCTCTGCCTTGTGTGACAAACCCTGTGTCATACTCTGACACATGCCACTGAAACAGGGCAGATGTTGCCCAAACCATATTTCCCTAACCTAGGGAAAGCACAGGGCACTGGGTGGTAACTCAGTGATATTTGCATTTTGTTTTTAACATTTTCTATTTTAATGCCATGAAGTCTTCCAAACCTCATGAGGTCGTGCCAGGATTTCTATTATTGGCACATCTGACTAGTTCTTTGGGCCATGCAGTTAAAATAAATAAGTATTGGGATGGGTGC